TTACGGCGCTGAGCTCACGGCCGCGGTGCTCCGCGACATGGGGCTGCAGGAGCTGGCTGGGCAGCTGCAGGAGGGCAGGCGCAAGGGTGAGCATCCCCGCCCAGCGAGCGTGGACTTCGCCCCGGCCCCTCTGCCTTCTGTTTATCCCACAGCTGGGCGGGCAGGGTCCTGCCAGGCTTGGGGGCGCAGGCCTGTAATCGCTACTCCCGGGAGGTTGAGGAAGGAGGATCACAAGTTCGAGCCCAGCCTGAGCAATTAAGCGACTCAGCAAGACCTTATTTCGAAATGAAGTTTTTAAACAGATGGACGGGGAAGTTGCTCGCCGGGAAGGCCCTGGTTCCATCCCCGTGCGGGGGTGGGGAGGTGTGCTTCCTGGCTGAGAGAGGGCTTCGCTCCTGGCCTGAACTTGGCACCACCACCAAAGGGGCACCCGCCCCGAAGACTGGAGGGAGGGCAGGAAAGGAAAGCGGGACTGACGACCTGACCCCTTTCTTTATAGGCCTTGGAGCCACCGCGGCCACCCCAGCTGCAGTCAGGGCCTCTACCTGGATGGCACCCCAGCCAGGTGAGGCCTCCACCCCTGTCTCACCTGCCCGGCCTCCCCAGCCCCAGGCTGCCTCACCCTGCATAGCCTTTGGTCCTGGGCTACAGCCCGGCTGCTCACTCCAAGCACCGTCACACCCTGCCCAGAGCCCCACCCGCGGCGCCCGCGTCCTGGAGGCAGCGTGCCCGGCAAGGATGGGTCGGGCACCCCAGCCTAGGCGCCACTCACCTCTTCTTCCTCCCTCCCGCCCCAGCACACTTCGTGGACCGGCACCGGGCTGCACTCATCTCCCGGGTCACAGAAGTCAATGGGGTGCTGGATGCGCTGTACAGCAGGGTCCTGAGTGAAGAGCAGTACCAGCAAGTGCGGGCGGAGACCACCAACCCTGCCAAGATGAGGCGGCTCTTCAGCTTTGCCCCATCCTGGGACCTGAGCTGCAAGGACCTGCTCCTCCAGGCTCTGAGGGACACGCAGCCCTACCTGGTGGCCGACCTGGAGAAGCCCTGAGGTGTCCTCCCCAGGAGTCCCGCTCAACAGCTCCAGCCAGCTCACCCAAATCTGATTTGTTAATGTATAATACAGAGTGAAATGTCTTGTACTTGTGTTTTTCCTACATCCAGCCTGCACAAGTATGATGCAAAGCCACATTTCCCAAGGCCCAGTGATAGAAGCCTGTGCTTAGCACACACTAGATACTAGGTTCACATTACAGAAAAAGTCCAGACAGAACAGACGTAGTGGTACACACCTCTAATCCCAGCATTTGGTAGGCTGAGGCAGGAGGATCATCAAGAGTTCAAGGCCAGCCTGAACTACATAGTGAGACCCTGTCTCAAAAAACAAACAAAAGTCCACACAGTCTCAAGAGAAGCTTGTTTCATTGTTCCTAGGGCATTAGGCCCCCAATATGCTCCTGTTCAGCACTGGGTGACTGTCCTTGTACTACCATAAAGGTTCTGCTCTGAGGTTACTGTTAACAGCCCCTCTGGCCTACTGCATTCCTGGAGGAAGAGGTTAAACTTTACCCAGAAAACATGCCAGCCACAAAAGCAAACTCCAGGAAATGAGTTCTTCTCTTGATGCTACTTTTTCTTCCAAAAGGAAATGCAAAGTGCACTCAGGATATACCCCTATGACCCTGATTCCCTGAACGGCCTCTGAAAAGCTCCATAATGCTTTTTCCTGGAAACATCTTGTAAGGTCTTTCTGGCCTTGAAAGGGGAGAGTTGCAAAGTGACCAACAGGTACCAAGTTATCCCATCCTGCATTTAGACTCCTCAGAGAGCAACTTTACAGTGTGCCTTCCCATGTCCTGAGCCTGCAGGAGGAAACTTCAAGAAGGCCCAACATTCAAACTGTAGTGAATATTCCTGGCTCTTTTCAGCCAAATTAATAGTGAAAATGGGGGGAAAAAATCAAGAGCAGAAATTTGGGGGGGAAAATGGCCCAGAAAGAACCATGTGTAATGTTTTAAGCAAAGTATGGCTGGAGAGATGAGTGTCATTAAAGGGAAATCAAGGCCAGGTGTGGTGGCTCACACCTGTAACTCCAGCACTCGGGAGGCTGAGGCAGGAGGATCACTGTGAGTACGACACCAGCCTGGGCTACACAGTGAGTTCCAGGTCAGTCTCTATATAGTGAGATCCTGTCTCAAAAAGCCAAAAAAAAAAAAAAAAAAAAAAAAAAAAAAAAAAAAGAAATCAAGGGCAGGTTCGGCTGGGCGGAGGAAGGCAGCTGAGTATGGATGGGGCTGGGGGCGGTACTGGGACTTGGCAGCTGGGACTCGGGTCATGGGTGGTGCCAAGGAGTCACAGAGGGTGGGATGCCAGCCTGTGCTGAAGGCCCTGAAGGCGACTTGAGTCCGGGGAGGCGCAGACAAGGGTCGACTGGGTCGGCTGCTTGGCGGACCCGTCCCAGGTGGGGGTGGCCAGTCCGGGGAAGGAAACTTGGACCCCTTCTGGGACAGAGGCAGAGTGGCTGAGCTGTGGCTGGAGACTGAATGCAGAGGCTGAAAGTGCGCTTCAGGAAGACGGGGAGCCACGGCTTAAAGGGAAAGAGACAGTGTGGGCAGCCTGAGATTGTGTTGGACATACTCCCTTCCCGGTGAGAGCCTGCCATCAACCACAAGGAAATTTAAAAAAGCAGCCCTAAATTGCAGAGGACAAAAGAGTTGCCCTGCTCACTTTCCCTCTGCCCTTCTGAAGAGCTAGCTGGTCTACTGCACATGTTTTCAAGAAGTTTGCCCACCACCTGCCTGTCTTTCCCTGCTCACTGTACAAGTTTGCCTTTTAGCCCAGGGTAGAGTCTGAGGTTTGCTTTTGCAAGAAGGAGAGGATGAGAGAAGGAGGATGGGGAAAGAGCATACAGAACAGATGCAGTTTTGGGAAACACCACATTAAAATCTAGCTTCTCCCAGAGGTACATGTAAATAAATCCTGACTTATTTCGAAAAAAAAAAAAAAATCAGAGAAGATGCTAGGCTGGGCATGGTGGAGCACATCTGTAATCCCAGCACTCGAGGCTGAGGCAGGAGTATCGCTGTGAGTTCGAGACCAGCCTGGGCTATATAGTGAGTTCGAGGTCAGTCTCAACTACATAGTGAGACCCAGTCTCAGAAAACCAAAAAAAAAAAGATGACTTGAAGGCACCTCAGGAATCAGCAAGACCCCACCCATCACAGGTTCAAAGATGCAAAAGTATATAAACATATGAAAAGAGAATCACTGGGTCCCCTCAAGGCCACTCAGGGAATTGGTTCCTAAGAAATCATTTTGCTGTACTCACCCACCCCAGGCAATGAGGCTTCTGCAGCCATGGTCCAAGAAGGCTTGACTACTGCTTCCACTGGAAGCATTCACATGACCCTCAGTTTTTTTGTGTTTCTGTTTTCTTGAGACAGGGTCTTGCTATATAGCTCTGACTGACCATGAACTCCCTATGTAGCCCAGGCTGGCCTCTAACTTACCACGATCCTCCTGCCTCAGCCTCCCAATGCTGGGATTACAAGCATGCACCATCATGCCAGGCTTGACACTGGTTTTATCAGCATGCAGAACCTAAGAGTTATGAGGTCATGGAGGCTTCCACCACATTTCAAAGGAAGGCTTGGGGACCCAGGCAAAATCACCAAGGTCTGTGTATGAAGCTGTGGGAATGAAGTTGAGGCTGCTAGGAACATGGACTGTATGCCAAGGAAATCTGCAGACTGAGCAGAGCCAGCCCAAGAGGCCCAGGGAGCTGCAACCAGACAGGCCATAGGGGAGGACTGGACAAGCCAATGAACATACATCTCACCTCCATGTGCCCCATACCAGATAGATGAAGACTACAGGACTTGATTTGCCTGGACTTTCAGTTTCACTTTGGTCCGGTTCTTTATCTCCCTATTCCCTCCTTTTACCTTGCAACTATGTAATTTGTCTGATTTTTTTGTTGTTTGTTTTGTTGGTACCAGGGATCGAACTTGGGTCCTTGAGCTTGCAAGGCAGGCAGCAGAACCACTGAGCTAAATCCCCAGCCCTGTTTGATGACTTTTTTTTTTTTTTTTTTTTTTGGTCCTGGGGTTTTTTTTTTTTTTTTTTTTTTGGTACCGGGGATTGAACTCAGGTCCTTGTGCTTGCAAGGCAGGCCACCGAACCGCTGAGCTAAATCCCCGGCCCGACTTTTTTTTTTTTACAGAGGATCACACTAAGTTTGCCTTAAATTAGCAAAGACTTTGGCTTGGACTTTTGAAAATGCTAGAACTGTTGTTTTTGAGGAAGACATTGTATTTTCAGTTGTATATAAGACATTTGAATTGCATTAGAACTACAGACATTGTTTATTTGGAAAATAAGTATAGTTTAAGATGTTTGGGTGTCAAGTTGACATGGGGTGCAATGTGATGGTTAACTGATCAGCTTGAGAGCCACCTAGATTCAATTAGTAAAACACACTTCTTGGTGTCTGGTGGGTCATGGTTGGCATGACCTTGGGTACTATATATGGTCCCTCACCCCTTCCTCTGTGGCACTGTTCCCCTCTCCGCCTCCCAGCCACCAGGATCTAAGCTTCTCTGCTCCTCCACACCCTCCCATCATGAGGCACAGCTACCCACAGACTAAACCTTAAAACTATCAAATCACAACTTTCCTATTTTAAAAGTTCCTTAACATATTCACAGTGAGGCTCTAATTTGTATGTCACGCTGCCGGGCAGCTCTAATTTGAATCTGATCACCCTGTTGGCTTGAACCACCAGTGGTACGTGCATGACTGTCCCATCAGGTGGCCTGTACCACTATAAATCATACCAATTTAAAAATTATAATAATCTGACACTCCAATGGGAAAAAATTTAACAAAATTGAAATACCCTTAAAATTGAAAAATGTAGCCAGGCATGGTGGCACATACCTGTAATCCCAGCACTCATGAGGCAGAGGCAGGAAGATTGCCATGATTTCAAGGCAAGCCTAGACAACATAGTGAATTCAAGGCCAGCCTGAGCTACCAAGTGAGACTCTGTCTCAAAGGAAAAAAAAAAAGAGAAGAAGAAAAATGTACAGACCAGGCCATAATATGTGTGTGTGTATGTATACAAAAATTACATATTACTTACAAATTAATATTCCAAACAAATATGAGAAGAGCCACCATGGAACAACAAAGGAATAATAAAAGAAAAATGTACTACTGAGCTTAATACTTTAAGAGGCTGACCTGCTGGGGATGTAGCTCAGTGACAACACACCTGCCTCGAAAGTGCAAGGTCCTGAGTTCGATGCCCGGGGTGGGCTGGGGCAGGACTCTCCAATGACTTCAAGGCCAGCCTGAATTAGATAGTAAGAGCCTGAATCAAGAAACAAACAAAAAAAAAGAAAATATTAAAATAGCATAAAATAAAGCCAATTTGTAAGATTTCCATGTTAAAATTTAGAGAATTAACTATTGCTAAACTATTAACCCATGAAGAAATGCCACAGGCACAAATTATCCCCCCAAAAAAATATACACTTCATAGAAGCTGATTTAGGATTAGCAAGAAACACATGCAAGTAATTTACAAAATGTTACAGAAAATTATATGAAAAAATGGGTGCTGCTATGGCCACACACAAAAAAAAAACCCAAACACAAAACAACATTTTGTACAATCTGCATAAACCAGCCATCTTTATATATAAAGTATTTTAAAGAAATTCACTAATACTAATTTAATGAAATAAATTTGACTGCAGCAGTTTTGATAGGTATGAATAATACTTCTGGCTTTTTGAGACAGGGTCAGTGTAGTTGAGACTAACCTGGATGGAACTCACCTGTGTAGCCCAGGCTGGTCTCAAACTCAGTGATTCTCCTGTCTCAGCCTCCCAAGTGCTGGGATTATAAGCATGCACCACCACGCCCAGCATGAATAATACTTTTAAATAAAAAAGAATGATAGGGTAAGTCTGCCTGGAGCAAGGGGGGGATATTTTGAGAGGAATTTATAGGACTGTGTCTTTTACTATAATAAAAAAAATGTAATAGTAATTTAAACATTCACTGCATTTTTTTATCATAGCACATTATACACTTACCCTGTGGTAACACCCAGTCCATGCACTTGGCAAACATG